CTGAGACAGCAAGAGGGAAAGTAAGAAATTACCCACCAGGGGCGATGGCCATTGTACAATCCCTCCTCCTCCATTCTTCTCCTGGGATCTTAGGCACTCACACTCATTCGCATGGCATGATTTTCAAGCCACTGGGTCCAGGACTTGAACCATGGTCAGCCATGTGGGAGTCCAGTGATGTAACTGTGATGCCATCAGCTAGCCCCAGGATTTAAAAATGTTTCACACTGGGAACCAGTAGTTAACGTAATGGCTAGGTCTCTGACCTCCTACATAGTCGACCGTGGTTCACGTCCCGGACCCGGTGGCTTGGAACTACCGCTGGGCGCGTGTGCGTGCGTGCCCAAGATCCCAAGAGGAGAGTGGAGGAGAAGGGATTGCGGTGTGACCATCCCACCTGGGGGGGGTGATTTCTCGCTTTCTGTCTCTATGTCTCTCTCTGTCTGTCTGGCGAGTGCACGCGCCCTATAGCGAAAACCTTTCCAAAAAAATTTTTTTTCACACCAAAGTAAATTTCTTTCTTCCATTCTTCAGGAACTTTTTTTTTTTTTTTGGTGGGGGGGGAGGCGGTTGTGGAGGTTGTCATAGGCATGTGTGCTTTGCCGGAGAGAGACAGAGAAAAGGAAAATGAGAAGTCACCCCTCTCAAGGGTGATATGATCATGTCACAATCCCTTCTCCTTAATTTTGATCTCAGAATTCTGGACACACATGCACGCACAACCAGGGTAACTCTCAAGCTGCTGGGTCTGGTACTCGGAATGTGGTCAGCCATGTGGAAATCTGGTGCCTTAACCACTATGCGACCTGTTGGCCCCTCCATGAACCTTTTGAAGTCTCTTTATACGTATCACTAATAGGCATATGATTAATTTAATTAAATATCACATCCATTTGGTTAACAAATCTTTTGGAGAGGTTTTTTTTTGCTATAGGGCCTGTGCGCTTGCCAGACAGACAGAAAGAGACAGAGAGACAGAGAGACAGAAAGCAAGAAATCACCCCCCAGGGGGGATGGCCACACCACAATCCCTTCTCCTCCATTCTCCTCTCAGGATCTTGGGCATGCACACACACGCACCCAGTGTGAGTTTTAAGCTTCCGGGTCCGGGACGCGGACTGGAGTCGATTACATGGGAGTCCAGCAACATAACCATTACGCTAACTGCTGGTCCCACAAATCTTCTGTATAAGAAGATGCTATTTTGAGACTGGCAACATTCACCTATTTGTTTTACAATAAGGAAATCTTATATTCTCATATTAGTAGAAGAAGCACTGACTAACCAAAAACATTAATTCCTTCACTTAGATGTTCTTCTGAATGTAAAGAAAATTCTTCTGAATATTCTTCTGAAATGTAAAGTAGAAATATTGATCAGTCCTACCCTCTTCAGGCTGCCATAACAAACTATCATAGGCCTTTGCGTGCCTTAACAGATTTTATTTTCTTGTGTTTCTAGAGTATGGGAAGGTAGGTTTCATTCTGAGGTCTGTTCTCATGGTTTATAGGTAGCCACCATCCTGCCATTGTATTCACATGACTTCTTTTTTGCATGTAAAGCTGTGGGGGAGAAAGAGACAGAGAGACACACAGAGAGAGATAACAAGCTCTCTGTTTCTTCTTATAAGGAAATTGATCCTTTCATGAGGGCCATACTGTAATGACCTCATCTAACCTCATTGCCTCCTAAAGGTCCCATCTGCATAATCTATAACTTTGGGGATAAGAGCTTCAACCTAGGAATTTGGGGGGAATACGTTCAGTCCATAACACCTACTATCAGAGGTTATTTGAGAATCAAATAATAGCTAACATGTATTGAATTTGCGTTTTCTGCCACCTGCTACTCTAAATACATCTATTGCATGGAGTAATTGTACTAACCTCATGAAATTTAGAGGCTATTGTATTAGGTCGTTTGGAAAGTCATTGCTTATTTTCCTGTTTTCCAATGCAAAAATGTGACATGGCTTCTTTCCTGATGACCCAATATATTTCCACTGTATGGGTAAAGAACCTGAGGATTAAAGAAGTAATCTAAGTTTAGAATTACACATATAAGGTCTGAACTGGCTCTTTCTTTTCCTTCATACTTTTGTTAAGTTTGACCCATTTATTGTGTCCTGCTCGGATGTCTCCACTTTTAGGAAATTTTTCTCATTGCTTTCAACCTTGAGGCATTGCTCTCTGATAAGGCTTTTTATAGCATTAATTGTCTCTACCACTTTGACTTTCAGCCTGTTCTTTTATGCTGCTGTTATCCAACAGTATAACTTAACCGAAATAGATTCAGGGCCATGGGCCATGACTTATCTCCTACATTTAGAATATAGTTAGTGCCTAATTGTTGATAAGGGTGATTAAATGTGAACATTGGGAAACCCCAGATCAAAGTAATATTTTAATTTGTAAAAATGAAAGAAAATTATAGGCCTCTTCAAATTAGGGTAAATTCAGAAGTGGCTTGTGGAAAAGTAGACCTACCAGTGTTTTACTGTACTGAAACGTTTAATATTATACTAGCTGCCAGCAAATAAATACCATAGCCAAGAACCTTTACCTTAATCTTTGAAGTTAGCATTTTTGAAGAATTAGGTTCAGTATGTCCTTGTCCATTTTTTGTTTTTCATGGCCATGTTGTGCATTAGACTTGTACAGGAGAGGTGTTGAACTGAGATTTATTTTTATTTATTTACATTTTATTTTATTTTTAAAAGTTTATTCATTTATTTATTCATAGAGCAAGAGACAGACAGAGGCAGCACCCCTGGCAGGGTCCTGACACAGCAACCCTGTCCTGTTCTAGCATGTGTGTGACCCGGGTCCTGGGGAGTTCTCCAGACGAGCATCCAGAACCCTGCCATGGCGGTCAGCTTGCAGAGTGTTGTCTTTTGCCCCTGCACTACCATCTAGCCCTTATTTTTATTTTTAACTTTGAAAAGCACTTGAAGTAAATTGAATTTTAGTAATTTTAAATGGAGAAGTTGGCCTTGTATGAAAGACATTAATATTTCAGCTGCCTCCTGGTAAGATCCAGGGCACCTATAAAACAAACATCATCTTGAACCATAAAAAGAAAGGTAAACAATTTAACAGACTATCTTTAGATCTATATCCATATAGCTATTTTTTTTTTCTGGGTAAGGTGGATTGCTAAGGTTCATTATTGACTCTTAAAATGCTTTTGATCAGAAGGTCTGAGTGAGGAAGTAGAATTGTAAATTATGGTTCTGGTTTTCTTGGCTGTTAATACAACAGATTATAATACTTAAAAAGTTAAGTAGTGTGTCAAGCCCCAAATTTGTATATACAGTATAATGGTTATTACCTTAGGGAGAGATTTAAAATTAGTTTTAAAATCTACTATGTAACATATACTGTGCTAGGGACTTTTACGAATCATGCAATTTAACCCTCTGCCTCTCTGAGGTAAGTATTGTTTCCTTTTTTTCCCCCCTAGAGTGTATATGCACGTACCAGAGAGAAAGGAAGAGAGATGGGGAAAGCAACCTCCGATGGGGCATGGTCATGTCACAATTCCATCTCCATTTCTCCATCCTGTTGGGATTTGAGGAATGCATACACAAGCACCTGGCGTATTTTTCATGCCTCCATGGCCAAGATTTGAACTGTGGTCAGCCATGTGGTATCTGACCCTCTTAATCATTAGCCTATAGGGCCAGCCCTGTTTATATATTCTTAAAATGAAGAATGACAGGCCTATTAAACAATTTAACCAGAACAGCAGTGTATCTAAATGACAGGATTCAAAATCAAACCCAGGCTTTGTTTTTGAGTTGCAATTTCTGGTTTATATATAATCATACATTGTTCTTATATGCAATGTTATTTTTCAAAGCTTGCATACAGTACAACCCAGGCTTGTTTGCGTTAGAACTCAATAGTAGCAATACTGATGATGATATTAGCAGTAATAGTCAACATTTATTTTAGTGTCTTATATTTAATACCTAACATAATGAATGGTAAAAACAGTACAAGGAACAAGGATATCAGATTAGGAATGAAAGACTTAAATTTAAGTAAGGTATCCACGGTCATACAATCAGTGCTGGGGCCTGGAATACGTACTGCAGATCTTGTCAGCATGGTCTGTTTATAACAGTATGCTCCCACCTTCTAATGCTGGTCCTGTTTCATTGTGCCAGCCTGATGCTAAATGGGCTTTAAGGATAGGAACACATGGGGGCCAGCGAGTGGTGTGGAGTTTACCCCATGCATGACAATCACACCAGGCACATGTGCATGTATATGTGTATGCCCCAGCGTCCTGAGAAAATGGCCATTTCTCCTGGGGAGTAATTTCTTACTTTCTGTCTCTATGTGCTTTATGGCAAAAACTTAGGAAAAAAAGAAAGAATAGGAACATATGTATTATAGTTTGATGATACTTATCAAATTTATAAATGCAAATTACATTTCATCATAAACAGGTTTATCAATGAAAAATTATCCATTTTATGTAGACAAATTTGTTCATTAACTAGATATTTCTGCCTGCATTCAGATATCTACTACACTAAAGAAAATAGTATTTGTGGGGCCAGCACATGGCATGGAGGTTAAGGTGACTAGATCCCACATGGTTGAATATGTAGTTCGAGTCCTAGACCCACTGTCTTGAAAAACATGCCAAGTGGCTGTGCATGCATGCCCCAAATTCTAAAAGGAGAATGGAGGAGAAGGGATTGTGGTATGGCCATCCCCTGGGTTGGGGGGGTTGGAATTTCTCACATTCTTTCTCTATTTGTAAAATTACTTAATTTCCAAAGAACTGATATAATTTTAACTGATAGACTTACCATCTTTGATTATATAGTATTGTTAAAGGAGTTTTAAACTATTTCTGAAATCTGAAGTATGAATTACAATGATACAATGATAGTTGCAAAAATCAATGATGAAACCAAATTTTCTTTTTTTTTTGTTTTATTTGAAATATTTATACTTGAATTCTCTTATATGTCTTTTTTTAGATCATGCTCACCTTGGCTGCTACCGACCCAAGGATTATAAGGTGTGTAGAATGAATTACAGAATAATTATTGTGGCTTCCAGACAAGTTGAGCCTTGTTTAAGGTTTCCCCTAAGGTAGCGTAGGTCTGGTAGGAGGCCAGGCTCACTTTATGTAGAATTCAAACACACACACAGACACAGATTGATGCGTATGTGTACAAACCAAAGTAAAAAAAAAGTGTTCCATGTCCTGCATGGTGCCAGGGAATCCTTCCTTAGTTGTTCTAACTAAAACAAAAAAATCTTTTTTTTTTTTTTTTGCACATTTCCTTCTAGCAGTACTACACAACTTATATATTTATTTTCATTTTTTTAAAATGTCTTCCTCTCTTTAATCCATATGTACCAGGATGACAGGACTTTATTGATCTTTTTTATTGATAACTACTAGTACCTATGTCACATTGTCTGACATATTAGGGAAGTGGTGGATTATTAAGAGAAAACAAATAATATTATATGAAAGGAATAAAGTTATAGGACACTAATCTTTATCCTAAAGTAACTATAAGCTAGCTATAAGTTGACTAGTTCTTATACAGATAATTGTAAAAAGTCCTCTTTTTGAATGAATTTCAAGAACTTCACTTCAACCTATCTTTAATTCCCTTCTACTTCCATCTCTAGATTCTTTTCTTTTATGACTTCCATAGAAGGAGAGCGGTGGGTGGTGAGCTGACAAAATTATTTTTGTATTCTAGGGTTAGGTTTCCATAAAAATACAGCCACAGCATTGACCATTGAAAGAATAAAGGAATGCTTTATTTTTGGCGCGTAGTATTTGGCTAATAAATATTCAAGTAGTGGAATACTAAAGGATTTCTGCAAGGAAAGGAGCCATGATGTTGGGAGTACTCAGATAACATTATGTATAAAAGTGGGACTTTGCCTGAGTTCTCTGAGAAATATACTTTACATATGCAAGAAAACAGTATCTCCAGAAAGAAAGCAACATGAAGAAGTCTTGGAGTCTGGGATAAGTGTAATGTCCTGGGAGTAAAGAGAAACTGCTAATGTGGTTCAGATGGGGGGGGGGTATACATTAAGGGATAATGACTACTTTTCTTTGCTTTCTACCTTTTCTACTTCTCCATATCTGTTATACCTCCTGTCTCCTTTTCTAAGACTTCTACTTCTCAGTCTTTACCTCTTCTTTAGGTAAAATTTAGTTTGTTGTTGTTCTTGTTGTTTTTTAAGGTTTTTGCCATAGAGCATGTGTGTTTGCCAGAGACAGTGAGAGGGAAAGTGAAGAATCACCCTTGGGAGAGGGACGAAGTGGAAGGGTCATGCTGCAATCCTTCTCCTTCATTCCCCTTCTGGGATTTTGAGCATACATACACAAACTCATGCCTGGTATGATTTTCAAGCCACCAGGTCTAGGATTTGAACTGTAGCTGGCCATATGAGAGTCAGCACCTTAATTGACCATACCACCTGCTAGCACCAAACTTAGCTCTATTTATCCTGGATGTATTATACTCTTGAATATAATACAATAATACAAAAATAAACAATACATTCATTTAATGCATTGATTCTAGTGGATACTGCACCATCCTTTAGGGAACATTTTAAACATTTAAAGGAACATTATGTTTTTGCAGTCATTTTGGGGCTGTACTCTTGTGGACAGTTCCAAACAATGTAGAACTATCTCATTCGTATCTTATATGGCCTTCAGTAGTCTCATCAAATATTATGGAGGTGAAAAAATTTTTTTGTAATGATTAGAACCTAGAATCTAACTCTATGTAAAACATACAGTATTTTTAATTTTTTTTTTTTTTTTGGAGAGGTTTTTTGCTATAGGGTGAATGTGCTCACCAGAAAGACAGAGAGAGACAGAAAGACAGAAAGTGAGAAATCACTCCCCAGGGGGAATGGCCATGCCACAATCCCTTCTCCTTTATTCTCCTTTTGGGATCTTGGGCACGCACACACATGCGCCTGGCATCATTTTAAGCTACTGGGTCTGGTACTCGAACTGCGGTCAACTACATGGGAGTCCAGCCACATAACCATTGCGCCAACTGCTGGTCCCAAGTATTTTTACATTTTAAAAAGATATACCATATTATAGGAATGCAAGTATTGTATAAAGATTATGCTTTGTTTTGTTTAAAACTTTGCACCATGATGAATTATCTGTGCTCTTTTATTTTTCCCGAGTTTGTGTGTGTGTGTGTGTGTGTGTGTGTGGTGTGTGTAATATCTCTTAAACTTCTTCCATATTTTAACTCCAAACTTATATATGCCAGTACAAGCAAACAGTATATTGTCTAGAGAAGTCATACTTGAGCATTTGTATGTTGAAGTACACATTACATATTATTAGTTACTTTAAGTTACTTTCCTTTTACTTCTCCTTATACTCCAGTTAGGACAGTATATTGATTACTTTTTTTGGGAAGTGTATGTTAAATTGTAGTGAAAGCGTAGATATAGGTAACATTTTTAATACATTTCATATCAAGTTATAGAAGAGGGCAATATAACACACTTGTTATTAAAATGGAGGCATCTACCTCAGTGCAGCTACCATAACAAATACCATAGCCCAAGTGGCTTAAATAATGGAAATTTATCTTCTCACCGTTCTAGAGACTTGCAAGTCCAAGATCAGGACACTGGCCAATTCAATTCCTGTTAAGGGCTTTCTTCGGGGTTTTCAGAAGGCAGTCTTCTCTCTGTGTCCTGAGGTAGTGGAGAGATTAAGCTCTCTGTTGTCCTTAACCTTAATTACTTCCTTACTCCAAATAACATCACATTGAGGGCTAGGGTTTCAATATATGAATTTTGGAGAGACACAATGTCATGTGTATCTGTAAGCAAATGAGTGAATTCATGGATAGCTAATAACAATAGAGTCCTTCTGGAAAGAATTACGGAACCCATTTTACCTGGATCTTTACAAATATATCCTTTCTCTTCAATTTAGCCTTCAGTGATGTTTGATAATTGTTTTGTTCTCTTGTGGATTCTATAGCACCATCCAAAACTTATTGAACTCTGTTGAGTTGTTGGGAAAGTCATGATGCATTTTTACATAGAGAAACATATAAAACTATGTCATGACTTTCCTGGCAACCCAGTTCTTCCCTTTCATTATGTATGTGACTTCTTTCATGTTCTGCTTTATGAAGGAGGACGTTGGTCAGCTGTTGATGAAACTGCCCTGCGTTTTCTTTCGCTCTCTCCAACCCTTCTGTGATCTTCTATTTTTTCCTTCTATTTTTCTTTCTGTATAAGATTAATACCAAATTTCTTTGTTTTTGTTTTTTTAATTTCTTTTGGCCACAAACATAGTAAAATCAACATATATTTTTTTCTCACTTTAAACTTTTTTTATATTGATTATATCACTGGATTATATACAAACGTATACATTAAGCAAGAATTTTTGTCCCCACTTTTTTTTCTTTTTGAAAGTTAATTTCTTCCATGAGCAAGAGACACAGAGTAGAGAGAAGCAGACAGACAGCACCCCAGCAGGGTCTCAATGCTCTGAGGTACCCTCCAGCCTCAGCGAGCCCTGGATCACAAGCAAACGTGTGGCCTGTGTACTCAAGGAGGTCTCTAGACTTGAACCAGGAACTCTCCCATGTTGGATTGCCTTGTAGAGCATCATTGTCTGGGCCACTTATCCCAACTGTAAATGGTGCAAAACAGATTCTGCAGTGCTCTTTGAAGAACAAAACTGAATGTAGCACTCGGTCTGCCTCCCTGTGTTGCTGTTGCTCCTATTCTCTTTCCTTCCACTGCTAATCCTTACAGTGAACAATGCTCACTCTTCTTTATTACTCCTAATATATTTAGGGAAAGTGAGTTTTATACGAATTTTCAGAACTGAAGAGGCCTTACATCTCTTTAAGAGAGATAGGAAACCATCTTAGTGGAATTGAGAAGCACGACCAGCTTAGACAAAATGTAAAATACACATGGAACATGTGGCCGTGTTTTGGGAGCCTCATGTCTTATTGTTGCTGATGTAAAACAGCGTACTGTTCTCAGAAAACTTTTTTTTCAGTAAGTAGAAGGTATACATTCTAAAACTGATGGAACTGCAGAAAGTATAGTAGTATAAATATATAAACCAGTTACATAGTCACTTATTTTCATTATCAAGTATCATGTACTGTGTGTGCTGTACCTTTACACACCTGGCCGTGCACTAGGTTTGCTTACACCAGCATCATCTGAAACACAGAAGCAATGCATTGCACGATGACATCATGATGGCTGCAGTGTCACAAGGTGCTAAGAATTTTTTAGCTCAGTTTTAATCTTAAGGAATCACCCTTGTGCATATAACCTGTTATTGACCTACACATTGTTATGAGGTGTATGACTGCATTCAATACATTATTAACTACAATCACCATGCTGTATAGGAGATCCAGAACTTATGTATATACACATGCATATAATGAAATACTTACTCTGCTTTTAGAAAGAGGAAAATCTTGGGGCCAGCAGTTGGTATAGCGGTGAAGACACTAGACTCCCACATAGCTGTCCATTGTTCAAGTCTGAACAAATGGTCAGATTTGTATCAAATATGTCATATTTTCTTTATCCATTCATGCATCGATGGGCAGGTTGATTCCATATAAGTTCATTACTTTCTTGAGATTCCTTGTTAATACAAATAAAAGCCAACACACAGTGCTACATTTTATTTTTCCCTAGCTATTTCCCTAGAGATAAAAGCTCGAAAGCTATGCAGTCTATTTTCCAAGCTATTCCAGGCCATAGTTTTATTAAATGTTTTGCCACTGCATTACATAGATCTTAAGTTTTCTATCCCAAAATATCTGTTCCCTTCTGCCTGCTCCTAACTGATAATCCTGAGCATATTTAGATTTCTATTAAGGCTAGCATATTAAAATACCAATTTCTGGGTTCATGGAGTAATGCTATTCATTATACAAATAAGCCTCTAAAATCTAGATGTTAACAATAATAGAAATGCAGTCTTTAATGACATAATTAAACTGTGAG